TACAGTGCTGTTCGATAAAAGTGACTCACCTGATTTTTTCGCCTATTGTTTTTGGGGTCAAACTAATTTTTAATCTTACTAATATAAAGACCCCTTCCTGACAACCTAGTAAAAAAGTTTACTCACCCTAAGGTATTCTATTGATAATTATAATTTTGGACATGAATGAGATTTAGGGAAAAACTCTGTACAAAAAAAATGACTCACTTATTTCCTGCAACTAGTAATCAATAGAAACATAACCGAACAGCTTTAAATAAAGAATAATAGAGGTATAATTTATTTATAATAGGTCATATAGTTCGAAATATTTAATAATCTATGGGTCCTCCTTTATTTTAAATAACCTTTTCAACCCTTTTTGGCCTTGACTTGATTAGATTCTGGCAAATCTCATCTCCCAGCATTGAACTCCATTCGAATATGAAATTCAAAATCAAATCCTCTTTGTTGCTCAACTGCTTTCTCGAAAGCCTGCACTTTATAATGCTCCATAAGTTTTCTATGGGGTTGAGGTCAGGAGATTGGGGCGGCCATGTCATAACACTCATCTGCTTCTCATCAAAGTATTCCTTCATCAATTTTGATTTGTGACAGGGAGCATTATCCTGCATAAAATGAGCTTGGTCGGGTCGATTTGCACCCTTTCATCAGAAGGGAGCAGACAAGACTCTAAAATTCTCTTGTACTGCTCGCTCCTGAGGGTCTTTTCTATAAGTTTTAAGAAACCATTTCCATGAAAAGAAAAGCATCCCCAGAACATTATACTGAACGGATGCTTGACAGTACTTACTGCTAAATTCAAAGAACTTTCAAAGCTTCTTCTTCGGATTTTAGATCGTTTATCCTTTGAATTTAGCTCAACTTTCTTCGGAGAAGAGAACATTAATAAAAAAAATCAGGTGAGTCACTTTTATCGAACAGCACTGTATATATATATGTATGTATGTATATAAAGTAATATAGTTTTATTTGTGCTATATTTATGTGTTGTAATGTTCAGTATCAGAGATGGCGCGTATGTAAATATAAAATTGCACATTGAAGTCAACACTCATAGGCGACAGTCAGTTTCATGCTAAACACAATTGCCTGTCAATGATTCCGTTTAGCATGAATCAAACCGACGCCTCTGGGTGTTGACTTCCACGAAATAGCAATTTACGTTCCGATTTAGCCGAAGAGCGTTGTCTTAGACAGTAAGTCTCCATTGTAGCCAACGGGCCACGGTCGACGTTGAGGCATAATGCCACAAGCGTCCTAAGAGACTCGTGTTGAGAAAGATTGAGAATCTCTGAAATTACCCACATATACACTTATGAATCTCTTTTACAAATGAGCTTGTGTCATATTACACCCCGAGTAAGAGGACGTTTGATAAATCCTATGTACATATAACAATACTATAACAATCTTCACTTCATATATATATATATATATATATATATATATATATATATATATATATATATATATATATATATATATATATATGGAGTGTTCGTGATAAATTTGACAGAGTATATTTTTTTTTTTTTCAGATTGATTATTTTGTTTGGATTATCTGCAAACGGTGAAGGGTGTTGCGAAATCTAGTCACTACAATTTTAGAGATTATACATTAAGAATTGGACAAAGTCCGACAATTTATTTAAGACATTTTTATGTTTAACATTCTTTTTATAGATACAAATATTTAAGTAAATGCTCTGTTTATAATAAACAGTATTAAACAACATTTACCGGCCTGAATGTCCGAAAAATTTTCATAGAAAATATTCGTCCTTTGACAGGATTCGAACCTGCATCCTATACGGTTAAGGCACGTCAGCGTAAATGACGGTTCCGTATCTATAAAAAGAATGTTAAACATAAAAATGTCTTTAAGAATTTTAGAGATGTCAATGCTCACTGGCATAGACGAGCGAAAAGACACTTGGATATTAGAAAATGGCTGCCTGCCTCATGATGATTTACGCCGTGCATCAAAATGCTACAATCATGACAGCTGTTCACTGCTCTTTAAACACCCGGGGGAAAAAAAGACGTGAAATAGAGAGCTGCAACGGAGACAACGAGGCCGTGGCTTTTTAGCAAAGAACACAGCAGACGTTCTGTTTGCCTTTGTACACTGGGATTCACGCAACAACTGCTGGAGAAAGAGATGGGAAAACCCCGGCAAAAGAATACTGGTTTTGGCGTTGGAAATGGGTGTTGCAGTTTCCACTATAATGCTGGCCTACGTTACGAAATCATACAAATGTCAACTTCTTATAGAAATGGTTGGAGAAAACCGTCTAACAATGGCAAAGAAACTTCTGAACAAAGTGAAACATCTTGATGAACCAGGGACAATCTGGTTCTTCTCTGATTAAAAGAATCTCTGTCAGAACCAGCTGTACAACACCCAGAACAACAGATGCTTTGTCTACAACCATATGACATCCCTCATGTGATGAAGACCAAGTTTCCCTTAACTGTCATGGTTTTGGGTGTGTCATGCCACCTAACATCTTTAAACGGGGTCTCAGGCTCAATTCGGATGCCTATGTGGAATTACGGAACACCGTGTTAAAGACTTGATTTGAGAGGGTGGCTGCTAGAAGACAGTACGGGTGGCAGCAAGCTTCAGTTCTGTGTCATACCTCCCGCAAAAATTAGAATCAGTTGTCAAATAATTGTTAACCACTTCACCAACCCCAACCCCAACCTCTGACACCCTATCTCCTTTGTGGACGAGGTTGAGAAATACACCAACCGATGTACCTGTAACACCATGGCCCAACTGATCGACAAGATTAAAGAAGCGTTTGAGACTCTCCCTACAGACACCGTGAAGGCTGCAAGTGTCAGATTCCTGAGTCGGATCAAGGCCATGGTAGATGCTTTGGGTGCTTTCTTTGAGTGATTTTTTTATTATTATAACATGAATGTAACTTTTCTATTTTTCCAATATATCGATATTTGGCTTAGTCAGTTTGTTTTCCGTTAAAACCACTGTCAAATTTTAGCTCGAACGCCCTGTATATAGGGTCTACTTCAGCTGCAATAGTCTTTTCAGACACGTTTGACTGTGAAGTAATGAAAAGCGGCTCGGATTGAGAAATCAGAGAGCCGATTCCGAATTCCACTCGAATCTATTACCTTCACTTAATATAATTGGGAAAGATATAAATCCTCTTCTTCTTCCCCTAGCTATGGGTAAATAGCAGGATTGACTGGGTTCTATAGCCTTTGATGGCAACTGGTCAACCACCGAAAGAAATGGCAACCGACCGCGGGAAAAAAATCTGCCTCGAAAGATACATGGACAACTAAGCGTGTATCACGTATGGCATGTAACTAGCTGACTAACTGAAATAATATTGACAAGTTTTCTCTATCAATTTTTTTATTCATTTTTTTCAAATTTCCGTATTTGTTTGATGTTATCGGTAGATTTGCCAAACTTGATATTTATTTTTATTTTATTTATTTTTTTTTTATTTTCTAATATTATTTTACAAGTGCTTTCGAATGTTTCTATATTCGTTTACAAGGATTGTTACAGGTATAATTTTGCAAGTGTTTCCGGCGTTCTCCGGTTTAATGGAACCAATTTCAAGCCATTGAAGGTGACGCCATTTAAATGGTCATTTTACAGGAAAGAACAACTAAGACTCTTATACCAGATTAGAGGAACTATTATTGTTTAACTAACACAAGTTTTGGGTAAAGGTAAACACAACACTCTACATTATACAACATGTCTGGTATATATATATAATGATAAGAAGAATACGGAGACTTTATCCATTTTGATTATAATTTATTTCGTTGAACACTGAAGTGTTCAACTCTTCAGACCGAAATCTCCTCCTCGGAATTATCCCTTCCAGTCACAAAAAGACGTATATACATGCATAAAAAGACGTATGATACATATATAAAATAATATATATATATATATATATATATATATATATATATATATATATATATATATTATTTTATTATAAGATATTAGAAGAAAAACATGTTGAAATAGCTACACAATAGCTTTCGTGTTTTTTTACACTACGCTGAACCTGTTCAGGCGATGATAAGAGTTACAACAGTCGAAACACAAAAGCTTTTGTGTATTGATTTCAACATGTTTTTCTAATGTCTTATAATAATAATAATAATAATAATATATTGCACAACTTTGAGCACTTTTTAAAAGTATATGCTACGAACAACAGAGTTTTACTTCATCTGTTCTTCATCTCATATATATATATATATATATATATAACGACATTTTTATGTTTATAGCAGGGTTGATTTTTCTTTTTTTAAACTACAATTTTCCATGATTTTCTCATGTACATTCATATCTACTCGATGCGTATCCAAATGTAAACACATGACGTCATACATTATGAAATGTACAAAGTCCGACAATTATTTTAAGACATTTTTATGTTTATACATTCTTTTTATAGACATATGTATTTCAGTAAATACTCTTTTTATAATAAACAGTATTAACAACATTTAGTGGCCTGAATGTCCGAGAAATTGTCATAGAAAATATTTGTCCTCCGACAGGAATCGAACCTGTATCTATAAAAAAAAAGAATGTATAAACATAAAAATGTCTTAAAATAATTGTCGGACTCTGTACATTTCATATATATATATATATATATATATATATATATATATATATATATATATATATATATATATATATATATATATATAAATGTGGTCTCCCACTGTCTACTCTCTAGTCGTATTTCTGGTTGCATTGATTGGCATTTTGCTCATATTATTATAAAAATGTACTATTATCGTTTTTTTTTTTCTTTTTGGTGGGTTCATTATTTGCCCATAACTGGGACCCTAACAGGTGCTGATACTCTGGGTCAGGGTGGACCTGGGAACAACAGCAGTTAAGAGGTGGTTCCACGCTCCTCAAAACCTCCAATCACCCGATTAAAAGCCTTGCTGCCGGATGTAATTCATCTTTATACCTAGGACGCGGGGGAGTCGGACATTAACAAGAAAGAAAGCATCAATCAAAAGGTTATAGCGATAAAAATAAAAGAGCAAGAATGATGTCATAAAGAAAAGAAGAGGGACACCGACGACAGTTTTAAGTACGAATTGAAGGAGAAAAGAGCTTAAAAAATATTATAAATTATCTAATCGACAGAGAAATACAAGAAGAAATTTTAAAAAAAAACGATAGGGAAAATCGACTGAGAAAACTTCTAGGTGAATAAGAACGAAAATTCTGGGCAAAGATGAAGAGTAAATATTGGAGGATATATATCTATATTTCTGAGATGAAGTATTATGTACACTATTTATAGCATTCGGACTATTATCCTCATCTTTGTTGCCATATTTACCACAACGTTTCGGCCGTTGTACGCTCCGGCCTTCTTCAGATGGTTGGAATGTCGAACTGAACCCTTTATTTCGCTCGGTTGGGTAGACTGTTCTAGTTGCACGTGCCATGAGTTGAATTAACAGAAAACTTATAACTGACATCCATTAGACAACAAAGATGAGGACAATAGTCCGAATAATGTAAATAGTGTACATCATACCTCATCTCAGAAATATAGACAGATACTGAAAGACCGAAACGTTGTAATAAATATGGCGACAAAGATGACAACAATAGTCCGAATAATGTTAATAGTGTACATAATACCTCATCTCAGAAATATAGACAGATACTGAAAGGCCGAAACGTTGTAATAAATATGGCAACAAAGATGAGGACAATAGTCCGAATAATGTAAATAGTGTACATAATACCTCATCTCAGAAATATAGACAAATACTGAAAGACCGAAACCTTGTGATAAATATGGCGACAAAGATGACAACAATAGTCCGAATAATATAAATAGTCTAAATATTGGAGGATTTAGACAACAACAAAAAAAAACAAGATATAAATATGCTCGAAAAGGAGGAAAAGATGGCGTCAAGAAAAAAAAGATGAGGATGACATGAATAAGTTAGAGTAGAAGGAGGAGAACAGAGTTAATCAAAGAAAAAAAATGGTATAAGTTCGCTAGAAAAGGCGAAATAGAAGAGTAAATAGATGGTGGGGTACGATGGGAAAATGGTCATGCGCAATCGTAGGAAAGACAATTAGAGAGCGAGATGAGGAGTAAATATTGGAGCCATTACCTCGAAAGAAAAAGTAAAAATATGACAAAGTCAAGAAGAAACAAGAAGAGAAAACGTGCAAGTTCGACAGAGAGAACAACATCAAATGCATAAAGATGGCGAGTAGACGAACAAAAAGAGGAATAAATGATCCAAGAAAAGAAACAAAAAGAAAGTGGAGGAATTACCAATTTGCAAGTTCGTCGAAGACAATTCAATAGAATGGAAGCGGCTATCACAATTAAATGCTAAAGCAGAAAGTCTGCGAAGACGTGAGATGAAGTAAAGTGAATAATGGAAGGAAGCGAATGATTTCAATTTCCGAAGGAACAAGATGGAAAATGGACTAATGGTCGGAACAAGCAATATAATCAAGCCGAGGAAGAAGGAGTCTAACTTGATTGGGAAAGGAAACGTTAAGTCAATTTAATAGGCAAAGAAAGCACTCAAAAGCCCGAATAGTATCAGGTAAACAGTCTTACAATACACGCACATACATACCGGCACACACGCGAGCACGTCTACACACACAAACACATATATTGTTTGCGTACAAATACACATACATATATGTATGCACACACAAATACACACATATATATTGTTTGTGAAAGGAGACACACACACATATATATACATACATCCACATACACACACACAGATACACACACATATATTGATTGTGTGAAAGCACACATACACACATATATACACACACACATCCACATACACAGACATAAACCTACACAAATACTCATACACACACATATAAATATATATATATATATATATATATATAGAGAGAGAGAGAGAAGAGAGAGAGAGAGAAGAAATACATTATATAGAGAAATGTATTTCAATGGATGTTTATGTGAATACGCACACACACACACACAGATACATACATACATATATATATATATATATATATATATATATATATATATAAAGAAATTTATTTTTGAATATATATATATTATATACATAAATGTATTGTTTGGGTGAATACACACACGTACACACACACACACACACACACACACACACATACACACACACACACACATATATATATATATATATATATATATATATATATATATATATATATATATATATATATATATATATATATACACACATACACACAAAAGGTTTATTTCTCAGGTTGAATAATATCGACAAGTTCTGTGGATCCAACTTTTTTATTAACTTTTACAAATTTCCGAATTAGTTATTTTATTTAATCGGTAAATCAACAAAAGTTCATATTTATTTTTATATTATATTATTTACCCCGGGTACTTTTGAATGATGGTGCATTCATTTTCAACGACTGTGTTTTTTCTGTATCTTTATGTAACTGTTTTTACATAAAACAACTAATTGGGAAATTTCAAAAAGTTAATAAAACATTGGCTAGACAGAACTCGTAGATATTATTCAAACAAACGTGTTTGAAAAAGAAAAAAAAGAAAATATATGTATATACAGAGTTCTTTATATATCAAGAGATTTATTTGAATGGATGGTTGGGTATAGACACACACACACACACACACATAAATAATAATAATAATAATATCAGTAATAATAATAGCACAATACATCGGCTGAAGCTGCAAAATACTTAAAAAAGACAGCAAAGACATATGCAACTAACCAGATACAGAAACAATGGCAAGATAAACCGCTTTATGGCCAATACTCTGCCCGTACCAAACAAGCTGACGTAGACAAAGCCTGTACCCATCAGTGGCTACGTAGTGCAGGGTTGAAAGCGGAAACTGAAGGTTTTATCCTTGCTGCACAGGACCAATGCTTGTTAACTAGAAATTATCAAGCACATATACTAAAATATTGTTTTAGCCCAAAATGCATTCTGTGATAAATATCCAGAAACAATTGATCATCTTGTATCAGGTTGCACGATATTGGCACCCACTGAGTATAAAACCCGGCATGACAGAGTGGGCCAATATCTGCACTGGAAAATTTGCAACTTCTACGGGAAGGAAACTGAAAGAAACTGGTATGAACACCACCCAGACCCGGTTGCGAAGATAGGACCTGTTACAATTCAATGAGGCTACACAATACACACTGACAGAATAATCAAAACCAACCGCCAAGACATTGTTATTAGAGACGGCAAACAAAAATTGCCTCCTTATTGATATGGCAGTCCCTGCTGACTGCAATGTATCTTTGACGATCTTCAAAAGGATCTTCAAAAAGCTATCAAAAGACAAGGACCTTGAAATTGAAATCTCAAAAGTGTGGCACATGAGAACATTAAAAATCCCAGTTGTAGTTGGAGCCCTAGGATTGATTGGAAAAGATTCCAGTAGACTAATTGAAGGGATTCCTGGAAGCCCACCCGTTAAATAAATACAAAAACTTGTTCTCACGACAGTCCACACCTTACGAAAGGCTTTGTCTATGTAAAATATGTGTGTGTGTTTCTTCAATTGCTCAGTGGAAAATGTCATGATGCCATTTCTGACCTTAGGTCTCTGGGCGGGACCCGGAAAGAAATGTGTACACGCCAGCAATCAAAGAAAATAATAATAATAATAATAATAATAATAATAATAATAATTATACTATTGATAATACAAATACAATAGGTAGCATTTTAAAGTTAAAGCGTTGCTACGTGCTTAACTTAGAATAAATTCTATTTTGCTGATTAACGTATAGCATTTCAAAATTTAAACTTCACCCGTATCTAAAAGATGAATATATTTGAATTTATGATTAACGTTCAATATATATATATATATATATATATATATATATATATATATATATATATATAATATGGAAAGCTATGATTGCCTTCTTTCTATAGGAACAAAGAACATAGGACGTAGAACATAGATTTCGTCTGCCCAATACAAATTGCGTCTCTTCATTGACGCTGCAATTTCTACTACGCTAAATGTCAAAACTCCACGCTAAGTCTTGGTCAAAAACGGAACTAGACCATCGGAATGTCATTCCACCCAAAATACGAAGAGAATTTTATTTTTTAATAACATCATTTTTTTTTAAAATGGCCGCCAATTCTCGTTACAGAAACTAGGTTTTAAATCCAAACAGTGTTCACATTTTCGTGTATTAAATATTAGGATAATTTTCAAGGCATTTGTTATTTTAATGAAGAAAAATGGTCACTTTATCGTTGTAAAAACTATAGCCCCGTTTTAATAACTCGTTTATTTGTGGTTGTTATGTTTGTCTTTACAAATATATAAGTCTGTTCGGAAAGTAATTACGCATTACTTCGCTATCGATTACGAGTCAAGCAAATCTGGCAGAAACAGGGTTAAATTGGACAAACCTGCGTTTCGTATTCGTTTATTTTATCGTTTATCCCGCGGTGTTTTCTTTATACTACATTTCATGGAGGGTAATAACTTATAACGAAACTATACGCGCCTTTTCATACTGTATGAATTTCGAAAGGTCAGTACTACTACATATAGAAACATTTGTGCAGTGTATACAGGGGTCATTGAATGTACACATCAGCCGTGGTTTAAAGATTTAAAAATATCGATTTTCATTTTGCCGGAAGGCGACCGAATCTGGATGAAGGACTTTAGAAAGAGGCTGTTGAATTGTATTAATGTCAAGGCATCAAAAACATGTTGCAAAAACTTAACGTGACTTGATCAACGCTCCAAGAACATCTCAAGTGAATTGGGAAAGCTTGTAAAATGGACATTTATGTACTTTCTTGACCTTTGTTGACCTTGAGAACCGAACCCAAAATTTTGCCATCTGCAGAAGTCTTTTTTAAGGATTGTTGCTAGAAGTTTCATTTTCGAATCCCATTGTGACATGTGATGAAGAAAATGTATTTTGCATGTCAACGGAAAATGAAAATGACAGTGGTTATCACAAAATGAGAAGCCAATTCCAATACCAAAACCAGAACCCCATTCACAGAAGACCTTGCCTTGTCTGATGGAATATGAAAGGTGCCGTCCATTACAATATATAGAATATGGATTATGTTTCATTCTAAGGTTCGGGCATAGGTAAACAGAAAAAAGATTTCCGCTTGAAATCCTGTGATGAAGAATTATCATTATTTACATTATTTTCCTTATCTTCGTTCTTATCAAAACGTTTCGGCCGTTGTGTCCTTCGACCTTCATCAGGAGTATGTCGATTCGAATTGGAATTGAACCCTTTATTTAATCTACGAGGACACGTTGTCGCCGTCCCACTGCCAATGTCTCGCGAAAACTCGTCTTCTTATTTGGTATTACTCGATTATTGCTGGCTCCTTCTCCACAGAGTCGAAGCCCGACCAAAGGATTAAACTCACAAATACTATATCACCAAATTCATGAATCAAGTCTTTAATCCACTGGGTTGTTGTTCCGTAAGACAATTCTGTGTGAAGAACTTGGAGCCTTAAACCTAAACTGACTGCTGATGAGTCCTTCTGCTGCTTGTCCTTCATAACTACACTCACTGGTGTTATTCTCCAGCAGGACAACGTAACGACACATTCTTCAAAACAAAGCCCAGATCGTTACGATAGGAGTTGTCTTCTGCCTCCACGTTGTCTTTGTTGATTTCGGTAACCAGAACATTTCATGAATGACTGAACAATCAAAAGTCAAAGATGAAAAAACAAAATTAAGGAAAACTTTCTTTAAACGTGAAATTGAATATTTACCTTGCCGTGGCGTTGCTGTTGTTGAACATACGACGGTTGACTGAAAGGTTCTCAAGCTGACCATGAAGAATTGATACTAGAGCTGTGAAATCTTGTTGCAGTTTTTTGTGTATATATATATATATATATATATATATATATATATATATATATATATATATATATATATAACTAGTGAGCCAGTCAAATGCCTTGACTCACTTTATAGTCCACCAATAGAAGGTTAACCAGTCAGAAGACGTAGAACATTGAATCCGTCGTGTATAAAGGCGGCCATTTTTGTTCACTCTACCCGAATGTCCAGTCCAGCTTGTCAGGCGAAGAGAAACAGGACGAACTATGCTGTGCTACTTTTACCAAAATATCCACTGCTAACGTGAAGAACGCTTTCCAACTGTCTTCAAGATATACACTGCTAACCTCTGAATTCTCTACTCAAATCGACCGTCATTATGAACAACAAATCTTGCATGTGCAGTGCCTTTATAAACATATTATCAGCAGCAGCCCAGACGGTATAAAAACAGGCGAACCCTTAAGTAATTCTCTTTTCCTGTTTTCCCTCCTTTCCTACGTACGCCATCAAAGCCTAACGACTGTGGACACTTCACACACAAACACACAAAGGAAATCACACTCAACTACATTCATTAAACGTTTATGTATTCAATTTATTACTAGGAAAAGAAGCTCTTAAACTTTCCATTTGTTATTTTGCTTCATAAATGTTATCTTGCATTGCAAATCAATCGTTCTGTTATTTTGTGCATCTACCATTCATGTATTATAAAATATTCTCGAAAGAAAACTTGTGTATTAATTATACAAGTAGCCAACAAACTAGACATGCATTGATTGCAACTCTTCCATTGTTTCTCTGCAGCTACGAGGCTGTGCTGAAAAGTTCATAGGCTGAATATGAAGGAATTATGTTAGAACTGTAAAATCAATCAAGCATTAATTTAAACTCTTCTTATTAATAACTGCATTGTTTCTCTGCAGTTACGAGGGAGGCTGAAAAGTTCATAGGCTGAATATGAAGGAATTATATTAGAACTGTGAAATCGGTCAAGCATTAATTTAAACTCTTCTTATTAATAACTGCATTGTTTCTCTGCAGTTACGAGGGGGCTGAAAAGTTCATAGGCTGAATATGAAGGAATTATGTTAGAACTGTAAAATCAATCAAGCATTAATTTAAACTCTTCTTATTAATAACTGCATTGTTTCTCTGCAGTTACGAGGGGGCTTGAAAAAAAGTTCATAGGCTGAAAATTTGAACTGTGAAATCGGTCAAGCATTAATTTAAACTCTTCTTATTAATAACTGCATTGTTTCTCTGCATTATGAAAAGTTCATAGGCTGAATATGAAGGAATTATATTAGAACTGTGAAATCGGTCAAGCATTAATTTAAACTCTTCTTATTAATAACTGCATTGTTTATCTCCAGGTTTGACAGTGGGCTGAAAGTTCATAGGTTGAATATGAAGAAATGATATTAGTGATGTGAAATCTTCTATCCATTAATGTCAACCTATCTTATTATTACGTGTATTCTTTCAATGTACAACGGTGAGCTGAATGTGAAAATTGGCAGAATATGAAGAAATGATCCCAGAGCAGTTAAATCTTGTATGCGTTAAATTTTAGTAATATCTGCCTTGTTTCTTGACAATGTTCGAGGGTGTGGGGTAAATTTCATAAGCAGACAATGAAAACGAGATGCTAGAGATATGAAATCTTGCACGCATTAACTTCGAATCTTATTACTAACTGCTTTGTTTCTTTTCAAGTACGACGGTTGATTGAAACGTGCATACGTTGACTATAGAGGAGTTATGCTAGAGCTGTGAAATCTTGCATGCATTAATTTCAACTCTCCCTATTAATAACAGCATTGTTACTTTCCTGGTACGTGGGTGGGCTGAAAAGTTCAGAGGCTGCCTATGGAGGAATGATGTTAAAGCAGTGAAATCATGCATGAATTAATTTCAATCAATCTTATATTAACTGCATTTTTTCCATGTTCGTCGGTGGGCTGAAAATTTTGGGTGCTGAAAAGTTCACAGGCTGAATATAAAGGAGTGATACCCGAGATGTTAATATGTGCTATCATTAATTTCAAACTATCTTATTAATAACTGCATTGTTTCTTTCCAGGTACGACACTGGGCTAAAAAATTTAATAGGCTGACTTTGAAGGAGTGGTGTTAGAGCAAGTAAATATTGCATGCACTAACTACAACCTGTCTTATTAATGACTGCAATGTTTCTTCTTTCCAGGTACGATGTTACACTGAAAAGTTCAGAGCCTGAATATGAAGGAGTGATGCTAGAGCTGTGAAATTTTGCATGCATTAATTTCAACCCTTCTGAATGGTAACTGCATTGTTTCTTTCCAGGTACGAGGATGGGCTGAAAAGTTCATAAGGTTGGGTATGAAAGAGTGATGCTAGAGCTGTGAAATCTTACATACATTGATTTCAACTTTTATTATCAATTGCTGCATTATTTTTTCCATATATTAGCGTGTGCTGAAAAATTTATAGGCTGACTAAGAAGGAGTGATGCTAGACCTATGAAACCCCCAATGAATTAAATTCTTCTTATTAATATCTGCTTTGTTTCCTTCCATGTATGAGCTTAAAAGTTCATAGGCTAGGAAGGATTGATGCCTAAAACTATGAATTTTTTCATATAATAATTACATCTCTTCTTACTAATAACTGCACTGTTTCTTTCCCAGTTCAAGGATTGTTTGAAAAGTTCATAGGATTACTAAAATGTAGTGATATTAGAGGTGTGAAATCTTGCATGTTTTAATTTTAAATCTGTCCATTAAAAACTGCATTGTTTCTTTCCAGGTACGAGTAAGTGCAGAAAAGTTCATAGCCTGACTATCAAGGAATGATCTTAAAGGTGTGAAATCGGACCTACATTAATTTCAACCCATCACAGTAATAACAGCATTCTTTTCTTTCCGTGTACTTGAATGGGCTGAAAAGGGCATAGCCTGACTCTGGAGGAGTAATGTTAAAGCTGTGAAATCTTGCATGCATTAATTTCAACTCCTCTTATTAATAGCTGCATCGTTTTTTGTAGGCACAAGAGTGGACTGAAAAGTTCATAGGAAGAAATTACGTTAGAACTGTGAAATCAGTCAACCATTAATTTCAACTCTTCTTATTAATAACTGCATTGTTTATTTACAGGTACG